CCTCCCAGAGAGCTAGGATTACAGGCGTGAGCCACCGCACCCGGCCGCAGCCTGTTGTTTATTGATGCCAGAGTTCTTATGCTGGTTCCTTCTCATCAGGAACCTCTTCTCTTAGCTCAAAATAGCTAGATTTGCAGTATACCTCTTCTCCTCTGTTGGGAACTCTCTTACTCAGTGGAGAGAGGGAGAAGTCCCTGGATAATGTGCTTGAGTCCTGTTCTGGGAGACTGACAAAGCAGGAGAGGGGCAGATACACTGTCAGCTGTAATACTGCTGCTCTCCCGTGTTTCCCCGTTCCCCTGTAGTTGACATAGTCCAAGAAGGTGCTGGGGGATATTCTTGTGGAGGGGTGGGCTGGTTCCCTAGGCCTCTGCTGAAAGCTTGGGTGGGGGCAGGGCAGGTCCCTCTCCACAGGGGTGGGTAGTCGTGGGGGTTTGCTTCACCCAGGTTCCCCAGAGGTGGCAGCTATGGTAGCTGGGCAGGGCTACATCAGCGGCAGCAGCAGGCGCCTGGGCTGTGGACATTTGCTCTGTCCAGATCTGGTGGCAGCAACAGCATGCTATGGCAGGTGGTGCCTGGTGGTATGGGCATCTGTCCGCCCAGGGCTGTCAATGGTGGTGCTACCCAGGTAGCAGTGGTGGCAGCTGCGCTAACCAGAGGGTGGCAGGCACCAATGGCTGTGGTTGCATACTCCGCCCAGGTCCCATGGCAACAATGGTTACCTAGGCAGTAGGAGCAGGCACTGGGATGTGGGCATTTGCCCTACCCAGGTCCCCAGATTGTGGCAGGGGCACACGGTACCCACTCATGGAATGTGCAAGGGTGCCTGCACCTTCCTACTCCCTCCCCAGCCTGGTGACGGTGATGGAGAAGCAGCAGCAACAGAGCTGACCCCCATGTAGAAGCAGTACTCTGAGACTGAGATCTCAGAATGGCGCCAGCTGCAACACGCTGGGTTCAGATGCCAGCAGGATCCTGCCGTGCCTTCTCTCTGGAGCAATGCCCCTGCACAGTCTCCAAGCAGCTCCCTGTATCAGTTTGGAGGCCTGCAGCTGTAGAGGGGCCCTCCCACAGCTCAGACTACAATGTCCACGGGAAGGCTGTGAGCCCTGTGGTTCTCCCCTTTGTCCCTTCCCCAGGTTTGGGCACCTTCCCTGGGTATCTCTGATCTGGCTGAGCGGGTCACCCCACTTCCTGCTCCTTCACTTTGGGTGCCTTGATTCCCAATGTTCTCTCTTAGACAACTGATCTGAAGGTGATTATCTACTAGCCACTTTCAATCCTCTCCATGAGAGCAGTGTGTGCAGGCTGCTTCTAGTCTGCCATCTTGGCCCCTACCTTCAGAATTTTCGTCATTTTAAAATCTTTTCGCTTAATTCGTACTTTAGCCCATACCATCCTACTAAAACTGCATTCTCAAAGTTTTAAGATTTGGTAGTTGCTCAATCTCTCTCTACAGCATTGACACTATTGACCTATGGACATGATACTTTCTTGAATTTATAATGCTGTAGTATCTCTCATTTTCCAAACTCTTATGTCTCCTCCACTAACCTAGATTTAGCCTTTTGATCTCTGGTTTTTCTTTATATTGTCTATTACCTTGATTCCCTTGGGGCTTCAAGCAACCATTTCTATTATATTATGTTTAAAAAGCAGTAATAACACATTTTTAAAATTTAAAGGGCAGATGATGCAATAGTGTTACATTTTTTTTTCCTCCCAAACAAAACACAAAAATGTTAAATGTTGAAAAAGAGAGACTTGGAATACAGACACTTGCATTAAAGTACTAAATCTCGTAACTATCTGTGCAACTTTTAACTCTTATTCTTGGGGCCCTAGTTTTTGCATCTGCAAAGAAGAGGGGATATTAAACTACTTTCTAAAGTAAGTACCACTACACATTTTACTTTATTAATTTTTTTCTAACATTATTATTAGTTATTCAAAATAATTTTCACTTTTCCCCTTTGTACTTCCTATAGATAATTACAAGCTTGGTTTAGCTTTTAATTTTATCTGCTCAGTTGTTTGTAATTCACATAGTTTGGTTTAATAGATCAATTTCTATATTAGCATTTCCTAACTTGAGTCATCTTAACCATTTGTCCTGACAACATCATCCTCAAGCTAAAATCTATGGTTACTATTTAAAGCTCCCTCTCTATGTATTACGTTAGCTATTGTACTTAATTAGTATTAACTCACAAAAATCACGTTTTATTTATAGAGATCATTCCATTTCCAGTTGCTTTAACACACAAATAAGATAACACAAGTTTATTTCCAGAAAATATAAAATAATTAAGTGGGACAACAGAAATAAGACTGAGTTAATGGATTTTTAAAAATGATCATTTGAGAACATATTATCTTGCTTTATCCCTCACTGCATTCTCCAAATATTCAGTGTTCTTGCCATATCAAATACATTTATGTCTTTTTTTCTACATCCTTCCCCCCGCCCATATTTATGTCTTTATACCTTGTTAATGAAGGTTTTTTCTCTGCTTAGAATATCCTCACATTATTTTTGGTTTGTTCATTTAGATTTAACTTATTCTTTTGGGCCCAAATGAAATGTTATACTGCCCCCCAGGCAGTATAAATTACTATCACCTTCTGCGTTGTCACAGCATTTTGCTTATTATTTCATTATAGCTTGCCCTTTATTTTTCCTTCTATTACAATTATTTATTTTCACATCCAGCTCCATTAGGCTGTATGCTTTTTGAAGGTAGGGATTGTGTGTTTTCTCTGACACTTTCTCTTTCCCCAAATCTAACCCAGTACCGACAACGTCTTTGGTATTCTTCCATTAAGGTACACCGGACTTTCACCTTCCTATTTTGACTCAAATATTTATAGTTTCCAATTTATAGTTTTAATAATTGTTTTAAATTATTTTATTCACATTTATACATAAATTGTCTATGTGCTAATGCTTATTAAGTTAAAGCAATTAAAGAATATAAAAATAGAAATATAAATGCTCTTTTGCAGTAACAGCATTAAAACTTGACTTCTAATTTGCTCAGCTGACTCATTTTGAACATGAACTATGCATTACCTGTCATAAATTAAGTAATATTATAGTTTTAAGAGAATTTTATAAAAATAGTAAGACAGGTGCGTTCTTTAAAAGATTACTGCTAAATCATTCTATTCTTTTAACAGATTATTTTAAACACAAAGTACTTAAATTATTTTTGGATGAATGACTACCCTATATATATTAATACATAAAATATTACTTCAAAAAGTCTCTAAATGTGCTTAATATTAATAGGAGATCAATATATGTTTTTTTAGAAATTAGTGCTTTAACATCTCCCCAGGGAGGCTATCTTTTCTCAGAAATAATTTGAAATGTAACACTGTAAATTATTTTTGTTTCTAAATCTAAAAGTCATTCTTTAAAATTCTGTTACTTATAACTGATATATAGCAAAGGTGTCATTGAGTGCCTTATGGGTTATTTATATTATGGTATCATCTACTTTAGTCAAATGTTCCCACCAAAATGTCACAAAGAATAGTGATTTTCTTTCTCCATACGCTGAGATTTCCTAGCTTCCAGTTAAATGAATACTGCTACACCAATCTCTTACCATATATGCCATCCCTATCTTTATGTGTCTAATCTCATGCTCTAATCTTCATTTTTTGCTATCATTTAAAATTTCCTCTTGAAAAACTATGCTGCCAAATCCAATTATCCTATTTCGAAAATCCTCTTTCGAGTATGCACAGGCAAATTTAATGTTTAGAGATGGGCTATAGAAAAAAAAAAAAAAAAAAAAAAGTTGGGAAAGATAAATCAAACCCATAAACCTAAAGGGTATGTTTTGTACTGTAAAATAACATTTCAAAAGATGAGTCAACTGAACTACTTGAGAAAAATATTCAGTAGTTCAATGGAGTAATTTTAACCACTATAAATTAGACTGAAAAAGAAAATATAGAATGTGATTCATGAAAAAGTTAAAGTGCATCATTTCACTAAAGCTTACTGATCTATGATACATAAATTCACTCAGTTCAGCAATATAGGGGCATTTTAAAGCACGCTTTACCAGTGCAACATCATTTTGAAACTTCAGTTTGTTTTTATTTATTTTTCTGCTAAGGTTTCATTACTACTGTAATGATTTGAGGAACAATCTATTCTAAATATTCAAGTCATTGTCCCCTAGCTTAAAAAAATGACAAATGAATTCAGCACTAATTTTTCATTCTATTTTTATCTAGCTAAAAATGACAACCCAAAGCACTTCAACTATCAACCCTAGTTGTGATGTGCTTATACATTTCAAAGTGAAAAATCTGAGACTAAAGTCATTAGTAAAGTGGAATTGAAAATTATTAATAAGGGGGATTTATTTATACTAACAAAATTTTACTATTATTTTTACAGGCAAATAAAGTCATCCCTACCATATTTGTTTCTCCATCTCATCTCTTGATTTTTCTTTCTCTCAGTTTTAGTTTCCTTCTGTATTTCCCTATAGGTCCTAGACTCTGTGGTTGGTCACTTTATTCTCTAATCCTCAACTTTACTTTGCTTTCCATCCTTAAATCTCTAATCCTACACTTCAGTCCTTCAATCCATACCTTCCCCAAACGACCTAAGCACTGATGGAGAACAATTAGCCAGTTGTGCAGATTTGTTCAACAAAAATACAAAGTGATAATTTCATCTCTGTCTCTTGACATATTTACCTGTCATTAACTGAGCTTCAGTCCCTTTTGTATTCCCCTTCATGGACTATCAAAAACTTTTGCTACTTTCTTCAATTGTCTAACTCATAGCCCACTTAATTCTCAGTGGATGATGGGAATTTATACTTCACAGCAAATTGAGACAATCATATAGAAATTATACTTCCTGCCCACCCTCAGATAGTAAAAAAATTACTATATGAGGCCATATCCTTGCTTCTTTCCTTTCAATCTAGAAAAAGAGGTATCCCTCATTCTTTCTAAAATATTTTGTCTTAGATATTTTTAATATATCTTCCAAAACTCAATGATATTGGTCCATCATTCATCTTTTCTGACATCTTTTTTCAACCTCTCCCTCTCCCCTAGTTCTGCCCCACTATCCTTTAAGTCTGTCTCTTCCTAATTTAGAAAAATAAAACATAAAAATAAAAAATAAATTTCTTAACCCTATACATCTTCTTTAGTTTCTCTCTAATCTCTCAGGCTCTATTAAGAATTTCTATAAAGACTCATATAAACTGAGTCACTACTTCATACTCCTTTTTATTCAATGCAATTAGTTTTTATCTCCATCATTAAAATTTTTCTCACCTTTTTTCAGTCTTTTTCTCCCTACCTTCTGTGTCTGCTTGGCCTTTGATAATGCTTATCCTGAGTTCTAGTCTCTATATTTTCACTCACTACCCTCTGAGGTATGCCATACAATGGTCCCTCGGGACCTGTGGGAGACTGGTTTCAGGACACTGGTGGACACCAGATCCTGCAGATGTTCAAGTCCCTTGTACAAAATGGCATAGTATTTGCATATAACCTATGCGTCATCCTCCCATATACTTTAAATCATCTTTAGATAACTTATAATACCTAATACAATGCAAATATTATATAAATAGTTGTTATACTGCATTGCTTTTTAATTTGTGTTATTTTTATTGTTGTATTGTCGTTTTTTATTTTTTCCCTGAATATATTCAATCCAAAATTGGTTGACCCCATGGATGCAGAAACCACAGATATGGAGGGCAACTGCATATCCAAATGCTTAGAGATCTCCACCTGAACATTCTTGAGACATCTCAAGTCAACTAATCACTTCTTACATTTCTAATATTAGTATGTATTTTTTATCTCAACTGGTGATACTAAAATTTATCAAACTACTCAGTAACTAGAGGGCCATTCTAGAATCTTCTGTTTCCCTTACCACTGACCTAGATTTGAGCAATCAGAAATTCTTTCGATTTATTCCCTTAATTTCTTTGCTCGTTTCACACCCTCATGACTAGTATTTAGTTCAGATTTTTACTACTTCTCTTGGATTACTCTAGATAGTGCCTCCTTCTCTAAGTGATTTTCATGCTCTGATCTCAATTTTGCAAATCCATTCCTTATATAAATATTATAATTAACTGAAAATAAATCAGATCATAACTTCTACTTTCTTGCTGAAAACTCTACATTGGCTCTTTAGCCACTTTCCAAAACCTTTTATGTTCTGACTATAAATCTGTGATCTCATTTCCTTCTTCCCCCAAACTCCCACCCCTATAATTTAAAAAATAAAACAAAACAATAACAATGTTTTAAACTCTCTTGAACACTTACAAAAATTAAGAAAATTTGGTTTTTGCATTTTGTTCCTCTGTCTAGAACAGACTGCCCTTGATGGACATACCAGATAAACTCTTCTTTAACCCTGAATTGTGGCTCTGGTATCTCTTTTCTTAAACCTTTCTTTTGGACTACTATTCCACAATGGTACTCCCAACCAGACAGAGTTAATTGCTTCATCCTCTGGGTTATCCCTGTACTCTGTACCTGTTCCTATTACTGGATAACATTATATAGTTGACCCTGTTACAGAAACTCAGCATTTATTTTTCATAATGGTACCCATGAATGATTTATGAAGAAATACACTATTTTTGACACCTTGCCATGAAATTAAAAGCCATTTTGAAGGCAAGTGTAGATAAACATTTTTGCAAATTTTGAAAGAATGAATCAGGAATCCTTAATCAGAATTGAATACTATAATATTCAAAGAAAAAAAAATCACCTTAACAACTCACAGAAAATAGAAAAAAAAATGATTCTCTAAAAATACACAGAGGTTAAGAGCACAGAATCACAGAATTTTTGTTAGAATACTCATAAAATACTTAACACAGTGCCTGGAACACAACTTTATGTTCTTAAAAGCTAATTGCTATCATAATTAACCCTATTATTATTAACCTAAGTGACTAGACTTGGATGGATTAAAAGATATTCTAGGTTATGGGTACTTCTGGTCTCAGTACTAAAAATTGTATATTCCTCCAAACTCTCTTGAGTTTTTTAAGAAAAAAAAAATCATTTAAGAGTGATTTCTCATTCTACTAGTAAATGTGATAAATAATAATCACCTTTTGTTACCTCCTAAGTAACTAATCTGTAATAGTTCTTTCCCCAATGGAAATCATTCCATCACCAAGAAATTCTATTGAAGAGATTTTGCAACTTCTACTTGCTAAAAGTTTCTTTGTTAGTACATATTAAAACAAATACATCAAATGATTAACATAACAATGTGAGACAATTCTTTTCTTACTGAGTTATAAACTCTAAGACAATTGAAAAAAGTTGCTTTACCTTCAGGAGCATCTGCATCACATCTCTTTGGCACAGAAAGGGTTGAATTACCCTTATGGTCATCAGAAGTTATATTGCTCTGAAAGAAGAAAATATAGTTAAAATGTAAACATTACATTAAAAAATACATTCATAATTACATTTTAAACTTTATTTACACTGTTTTCTATTAACTACATCTATCTAATATTCTAAAAGGTAAATTCTAAGCAAAGTTGAAATTAGAAGAAAAGAATTATGGTAAATTAAAACATTAGCTTTTTGCAACAATCCTGTAGGGTTTCTTCTCAGAACAAACAAATCCCATTTCAAGTCCAAATATGACATCCAAAAAGAAAAAGAGTACTTAGTTTTAGACGGTAGAATAAGCAAGAAATATCTTTTGTCCATGCAAAAGCATAATCTTCTATTATTAATTTATAGAAAACGTTTAACAAGCATGACCTCAGGAGCTAGGTGCAGGGGATGAGGCAAAAAGAGAATAAAAAGGTATAAGAAGTAAGAAATACGGTTCAGGAGATCTTCCAGTATAATGTTTCCCAAACTCAGGTTATTCATATACCTTCATCGTGATCTGCACCTTATCTGTTCCACCGATTTTATTACTTACTTAATATTTTTCAATGAACTAGCTTTTTAACATTTAGTGGGTTTGATATGTTTGTTAGATTTTTGTTTTAAATTATATGTTAAAGTAAAGACAGATTGGAGGAAGAACAGGATATAAAAGGATCTGGGTGACTGGATTAATAAAGAAAGATTTCATTAAAGCAATGCTCAAATGAGGACCTGAAACATGGATATGACTTGAATTGTTAAGAAGTAGAGCAAGAAGTATTTTAGGAAAAGGAAACAAAAGTTGAATCAGATACAGTCAAAGTATTTTAAATTGCCAAAAAATCCACACTTACTGTCCTATTAAAACTAAAATCCACAGCTGGCTTTTGAGAGATCAACATCATCAAGAAATCAGTGCAACAGATATAAGGATACCTATTATGTTAAAAGCCCAGTGATTCACAAATATTTATAAAGCCTCTCTTGTGAGATTCACAGTACTAATGAATAGGCATACTGTGCTCATTGAAACTTTTTTGGGAGCCATATTATTAAAATACCTACAACATTACTTTAGAGGAAGTATTATGAATTCTAATGCAGTGCTAAGATAAAGCTTAGAAGCTTAGCACCATGGGTTTCATTTAAGGAGGTATTATTAATATAATGAAATTCCATGTGTTATTTTAAAAAAACGACAGTGTGAAACAAGTATCAATATACTCAAATAAGGAATAAAAAACCAGTTTTAGCAATATTAAATTTAATCTGATGAGCTAATATCTTATGCCAGCCATCACAATTAAAATTTGCTTTTAAGTATCACTATCTTTAAAAAATCAAAATAATCAAGTTTAAAATACTTACCTCTATTAAGTAATTTTGGCTTCCATACATAACATACTGGGGAGCAAGACTATAAATCATGTAGCTAGTGTGAAGGACAATAAGCAGAAGTATCATGCAGAGAAATAAGAGTGCTTGGGGCCTAGTTCTACCTCTTCTTATTTTATATAACTGGAAAGAAAAAAGACAGTGACAAAATTTCAGCAATATATTTTATTTGTAAAAAATTAAGTCCTGCTCTTCTATTATAGGGAATGATTTGCACAGTTCAATCAACTGTCTCTTTTTTCCCAAATCCTGAAAATTCCTAATCATTCCAAAAAATTATATGATTGATAAAGACAATTAGTTCTCTTTGTAGCTTTTAGATTTAGCTTTATGTTTATTTTAAAATAATGGCAAAGCATCTATATCCAAAAGATCATATATATGACTGATTAAAACTCAGGACCTAGAGAAAACATTAGTATTCACATGGTCTGTTTTCAGGCAAATATTTTAAACTTATTGTGTAATAGTATCTGTTAGAAGTTCATAGAGCAAATTGTGAACTACCTCTAGTTTTATCTAAAGATTAGAAGTATGAGTTTAAACTACAACTATTAGTAATATATTTATGGTTTTATATAATAATACTGCATAAGAATAGATAGATCACGTTTATAAATCCATTTCTATGAAATATTCATGACATCCTCATATATTCTGCTATAAAATTCAGTTTATGATAACTGTGATAATCTGACTATAGATGTTTTCGCATATGTCTATACTAAAGGAAAATTGAAACATAGGATAACTGAAATACAAGGAACCAGGTAATGTGTTTCATTTCAACAGCAGAGCATGCTTTTACTATATTGCAGCACACTATAGAATAACAGACTTCAATTCTAGATGTGATGATAATAAGATCACTTAAAAATTTATATTTCCCAGGTTTCCTCACAGCTAGTAGTGGCCATGAGATAAAATGTTAGACATTAAAAGGAAAGCAGGAGTCTGCTAGGGATTTCTGGGAAAGTCTTGTTTTACTGATATAGGTGTATACCCCTTCATTCTACCTACCATTTTCCTTACAGAACATGGCAGGATAAATGAAGCTGCAGTAGCTCGACTGCAATCATGAGAGAAATACCCAAAGAACTGTAGAGATCTTGGAACTGACACATTTTAGCTACTGAAGCAATACTAGATTGTTTTTTTTTTTTTCCACATAGCAAGAAGTCTTACGTTAGTTCAAACCACTATTTAACTGGGGTGTCTTTTACTCACGGCTAGAAGTAGTATTTATCTGACACAGCTTCACTTTGAAATTTGTATCTCAAAATGAGCATGAGAAGAAAATAACCAATCACATAGTAATCTTTAACTCCTAATAGGGAGGACCATCTTTTGAGCTTCAGTGTATCCATTGTATTTCAATGTGTTTCCATGCAGTCAAACACTAAGGAGAATTTTTTAACTTCTGAACCAGGGTTTCTTAACCACAGCACTATTGACATTTTAGGCTGGATAAGTCTTTGCTCTGTACACTATAGGATGTTTTACAGCACCTCTTCCCCACTAGATGCCAGTAGCACCTCCTACTTGTAACAACTAAAAATATCTCTAGATATTGTCAAATGTTTTACTGGGGGACAAAACTGCCCCTGTTTAAAGAACCACTAATCTAGACAAAAAACACTTTTATGTTCACATGAAGTGAGAAAAAGCTAATATTTCCCTCACATTTGGTATACAGATATTCATAATTTCTATATTCTAAATCTAAGATAATTTGCAATAATGGTATTATGCACTGAATGATGAGAAAAAAAATCAAATTATATTGTAATGTATACTTACTCTAATCCAAAAGAACCATATGCCAATATTTCGAAT